TTTTCCAATTTTTTTTTCCATTTCAAATTTCAATAGTAAAATTATTTGAATAAGGGAATTTGAATATGAGACTAAAATTCTTTTGTTCAAATATAATTTTTTTTTTAAATAAAATTCCTAAAAACAACTTGCGTATTTATAGAAAATGTTTAATCTTGATATTGCTTTAAATAAAATTAAAATATAAAAAAATGGTGTCGGGTTTTTCATATTCTATTCAACAATTTTTGTTAAATAATTTTTATTTAGAAGCTTATCTTATGTGTTAACAACATATATGATTTAAATAGAAACTTGTATAGCTAACTTTTGCAAGTTTTTTAGTATATTAAGTAAATTAATATACTTGATAAGTTACAGTAACTGTAGGAACTTAATTGGTTGTTTTGATTTAGTTTATAAGTAAATTTACTGTGATGTACTTTATCCATTCATTACTGTGATGTACTTTATCCATTCATTACTGTGATGTACTTTATCCATTCATTACTGTGATGTACTTTATCCATTCATTACTGTGATGTACTTTATCCATTCATTACTGTGATGTACTTTATCCATTCATTACTGTGATGTACTTTATCCATTCATTACTGTGATGTACTTTATCCATTCATTACTGTGATGTACTTTATCCATTCATTACTGTGATGTACTTTATCCATTCTTTACTGTGATGTACTTTATCCATTCATTACTGTGATGTACTTTATCCATTCATTACTGTGATGTACTTTATCCATTCATTACTGTGATGTACTTTATCCATTCATTACTGTGATGTACTTTATCCATTCATTACTGTGATGTACTTTATCCATTCAGTAAATCAAAGTAAATATAACTTTATTATATTTAGTTAATGTATATTTGAATATACTTAAAGTAGTAAAAATAATAATATAAAGCTTTTGATAAAATAATAATTTAAATTATTATTAACAATTTGTTGCAACGTTTTAAAAATAAGGATAAAAATCGGGCTGGTTTGTTAAAAAAAAGAACGAAGAAAAAATTTGCATTAGCGTCTTTTATTTTTTCAACTTTTGGTTTTAACGACTTATTAAAGCTTAAATAAAATAATTAAAATTAGTTCTTTAAATATGCTGGTCAAAGTTGACTGTTTGAAAAAATCAGAGTTAAATCTAGAGTCTTTTAAGCTGAAATAATTTTAAAAAGCATCTAAAATATTTTTGTTTCCTATGATAATTAAGCTTTTGTAGATTAAGCTACACGATATGCTTTAAATTTATTATGTTAACGTGAATTATTTTATTCTTTAGTTTCACTTCACAATAAAATCAATGGTTGCCTTTTTTATACCTGAATAAAGTTCTTATTTTATTTTTATTTTATATTGTAAATTAAAATTATTCTTAAAACTGTTTTTTTTTTCTTGAGCTAAATTAAACTTTGTACCATTATCACATTCTAAAAACTCACATTTTCCACAGCTACACCGTTTACTTCTTGTTTATACTTTCTATGTTTACACTTTCTATGTCTACAGCTATATTTCTATGTTATTTAAAATAACTATCACTCTTACTTATTTAAAAATTCAGAACGTCTTCATATGTTGCAAAGCATAAAGGAGTAATTAACTACAAAAAAAAAAAAAAAAAATTAATTTAAATTTTCCCATGTTTAATCAATAATTTTATAAAAGTTAAATTATATTTTATAAAAGTTTCAACCAGTTAAATGTACAAATATATTAATGATTACAAACTAATTTTTTTTTTATGTAATCAACAACAACAACAAGCTATTTATTTTCCGTAAATTATTTTACAATAGTTTTGATAATAATAATAATAGTAATAATAGCAAAAATATATAATCATAACATAAGATAAAAAAAATAATTATACAAGTTATAGTAATAGTAATAATAAGTATGTTTACAATAATTACAATGAAAAAATAATAATAATAACTAATATTAATATAATAATAAGTTAATAATTTATTAGGATTGTGTCACTCATACACAAATCTGATCAAAGGAGTGACACCAATTTTTAATATAATATAAGTAATAATAAGCAAAGACATACACTGAGACACATGGACAGTAAATACACAAACCAAAGCACATAAAATATACATCAAAACAAACATGTAGAAATCAATTTGCAGGTTTTACTAATTAAAAAATAAACAAAAAGTGCTGATGATAATTGTAGTAATTACGAAAAGAAAATAATATTTAAATCATAAAGATAATAATGCCAAAAAATTAGAAAAAAAAGTTTTTCAGAGTTTTTTTAAATTGATATTGTTTAAGATGGAGTAAAGGTATTTTAGGATATATTTTTTTGGACTCATTCAAAATGCATGCAAGGCTCCTGTTCCATTCACAGGCGCACTGATAAACAATAGAACGTTTACCATACTTCTGGGTTTTAAAAGATGGTACATTTAGTTTTCCATTGTATATATTTCTAGTCGAGTAGGAATGTAATAGTCTACTTTCTTTGAACAAGTTTGTGATAGGAGATGGTATATTTTTATTTAAGGAGTCAAAAATAAAAAGAAGATTAGCATACTTTACAAGCGCTAGAAATGTTGGAATGAAAAGTTTTTTAAAGGACTTTAATGTATCTGATTTAATTGGTTAGAAGTTTATTAATCTGATGGGTTGACGCTGAGACGATAGCAACATGTTAATGCGATAGTTTCCAACTTGACCACAATAGTTTTGAACTTGACAGCAATAGCTAATATGAGATGAGAATGATGCATAGTAAATACTCCTAAGTGTAACTTTATTGACACAATGACGAATTATTGAATGCATACCGTTAGCTCGAGATGAAGCACTGAAGAGAAGTGAACAGAGTTGATTAAAGTAGATTAAAAAAGGAAGAGGACCTAGAACAGAACCTTGAGGAACATCACACAAAACTGATTTATTACTAGAATTGAAAACATTAATACTTACAAATTGTTTTTGATCTGAAAGATAAGATCGAAACCAGTCATTTACAATACCGCGAATTCCATAATGTTTTAATTTAGAAATCAAAATACTATGGTCAACGGTATCGAAGGCTTTTTGTAAATCGATAAAAACACCACAAACGAAATGACCAGTATCAAAAGCTTTCCTGATTTTTTCCGTTGTACTTATTAATGCATGGCAAGTAGATTGTTTTGATCGAAAACCAAATTGAAAATCATTTAAACAATCAAATGAGTTTAGAAAAGAGTACACTCTAGAATGCATAAGTTTTTCAAGATGCTTACTAATGTTAGATAAAAGAGAAATAGGTCTGTAGTTAGAGCATGAAAGTTTAGAGCCATTTTTAAATATTGGAATAACGCAAGATAATTTCAAAATATCAGGAAATTTTTCATTTATAAATGAGGTATCAAATAGATTAGAAAGAATATTTGAAAAATTGTAGTTAAAATCTATTAGAATTTTTGTGGGAATATTGTTCCTACTTAATGATGTTTTTGGATTTAATTTAGAGAATTAATTAAATAAGAGATGAAATTTTAGAAATATTTGTTGGAGATAATAATAAACTATGTAAATTTGGATGTTTAAGATATTTTTGATAGTTAATGTAAGATAAATGAATATTGGATTTGAGTTTATCAGCAACATTTGTAAAAAAAGTGTTAAATAATTCAGAGATTAAAGTTGGATCAGTTATATATGTATCATTTTCTTGCAAACAGTTTTGATTAGATTTGACCTTATCAAACTTCCTTTTTCAATCAAAACTCTTTTTTCAATCTATTTGCAAAGTTCAGTAAGTGTTTTAAAACAAAAATTAAAACACTGAAAAGTTTTTTTTTATTGGACTGGTAATTAAAACAGTTGACCATCAATTTTATGTGGGTTGGTTAAATGTAATGTTTATGGTCAAATGTATTAAAGCTTTTGTTGTAATAAATAAGTGCATGAGCTGATATAAATTTATACTAAAAATGATGAAATTAATGAGAAAATTAATATAATATATACATTTATAGGAAACATGAATATGTTTGTAAAAATAAAAAAGTAAAAGTTATAAAAAGTTAAAATCTTTATTTAAAATATATCTTTTTAAAAGATATATTTTATAAACTATTGTTTCAGTTCTTTAAAACCTCTTTTATTTATAACATCAGTTTTTAAAAATGTTTACTTTGTTAAAATTTCAGTTATTTTAAATGCGGCTGAAACTGTTTTAACTGTTATTTTATAAAAACTAAACTTATAATTTATTCAACAGGTGTTATTTTATATTTATAATATAAACATATAAAAAGAATAATTTATTAATTAAGATACATATTTTTATTAAAAACAGTTTTAAAGTTTATCCAGAAGTGAATTATGCAACTATATTATCAAACTTAATCATTCAAAATTTAATTAAAAAAACATTTTTTTTTTGTCTTGTTCTACTTTCTATGCAAAGAGTAAGTTCTCTTTGTGTGTGTTCTTTGCAAGTATATCTATTAGGAAATTGATTTCTTTATCAAGAAATTTTTCAAGAGCAAGTAGGCTCTATAGATAAATCCCCCATACCTACAAAGATATTTTGATCATGATTTTCACTGTGTTTTATCTGAATGTTTGTGAATGTTTGTTCTTTTGAATATATGTTGAAAAATGTTTAAAATAGATCCTAAAAAATTTACAAGAAAAATTTGAGAGTTGATTGAAATTCAATTTAATAAAAGTGACGCAAAAATAATAGTATAAATATAGACAAAAAATCAGTATCCCAAAATGCAATTCTGGGTGCCATATTTTTTATATTTTAATAGTTATAAAAGAAGCCCCTTTAATGTAAACTTTAGGTAATCCATTAAAAAATGACTTACTGTTTGTTTGTAGTTAAAGTTGAAAATGCTGGTATCAAATATCTAGCAGAAATTTAAAAAAACTTTTGAATCACTAATTGCATTTATTTAAAAAAAATGTATGAATCACTAATTGCATTTATTGAAATTTAGTTACATAATTATTTTATTTACATAATTGTTTTTAGTTATTCTAAGTGTCAGTGACAAAACCGGTCTTTTGGAATTTGCTAAAGGGTTAAATGACTTGGGCTTTATTCTTTATGCATCAGGAGGTACAGCTACTACCATCAGGAATGCTAATATACCAATAAAGTTAGTTATTTTGATTTAATGGTACTCTCTTTGCTTTCTTTTAGGTGGAAGTGTTACAAATAAAAATAAATTTTCTTTTTTTTTTTTTAGTAGTGGTTGATTAATACTTTAAAATAATTTTTGATTAGTTGTATAAAGGGTGATCCTTTTCTTACTCCTGGAAAACTTCTTAAATTTTCTAAACAAGTGTGAAAGTTTTAATTTTTTTTTTTTGAAATTTTGCTAGAATTGTTTAATTTTGTTTTTAACTTTTTTTAACCTTTAAGAACTATATTTTACTTAATAATAAATTTAATTATATATAACTTTAATAACTGTAGTTTACTTAGTTTAACTGTTTTAAACTTATACCCTATTTATAAAACCTGTACTTGTATAAACTGCATCCTAATTATGTCTTATTAAAATAACATTGCAAGGTTGTTTTATTTAAATTTAAATTTAATTCAACCTAAAAAGTGCTTTTTGCACTTTTTAGGTTGAATTAAAACCAATACTAAGTTTGATGTGAATAAAAAAATATAAAACCTGTTTAAAATACTACTGTCAAAACATGTTTAATTTTTTTTAACTTTTGCAATGTTATTTAATTGATGAATAAAAAATAAAATGTTTTTTGAAATATTATATAAATAATTTTCACTATTTACTACTGGTTATTTATTTTAAGTAGTTTTCATGTTTACTACAATTTACTACTGGCTTTTATTTGAAGTAGTTTTAATCTATATATTTTATTTGTCTACAAAAAAACTAATTAGCAAAAAATCGGACAGACTTTTCATAGCCCTTTCTTAGCACTGTCTCTGCAAAAATATATAAAAAAATTCAATTCCATAGCCCTGCCCTTAGCACTGTCTCTGCAAAAATATATATAAAAAAGCCTAGAATATAAGTATATATTAGGTAATAAAAAAAGTTTTAACTTTATTTTAGAAGTATTTAATATTTCCTGAGCATCTTTTTTTTAAAACATCCATTGCCATCTTTTTGAGACCTAAATGCATAATTATTTTCAAAAATTTTAATTTATCATAAGACTTTGAGTTAGTTTAGTTTATTTACATTTTTTATATATGTTTCATATAAATTATTTTAATATACTTTAGAATTAGATAAATTTAAATTGTTAACTTCTAATTAATATAAAGGTATTATACTATTAAAATGTTTTATATGCTAGAGATGTTTCTGAACTTACTGGTGCTCCAGAAATGCTTGGTGGTCGAGTCAAGACATTGCATCCTGCTGTTCATGCTGGTTATTGTCTTGGTTATTTTATGTTAATATTTGTTTATATTGTTTATATTTATTATTTTGCATTGATATCTCCTTTATAGGTATTCTTGCTAGAGATTCTGAAAATGACCAAAGAGATTTGACTAATCAAGGTTATTCGAACATTAGGTAGATTTTGTTATTTCACAAAAAATCTAAAATAAGTAGCAAAACCATGAAAATTATAAGTTTTAATTTCTTATTTATATAATTAAAAGGTTTTTTGATTACTCATTTAAAAAAATGCTTTTTTTTTTTAAATTAAGGAAAGAAAACTATTAATATAGTTAAAAGTTTGCTTTCCTATAGCAGTAGTATAATAACTACAGGTCTTGTTTTAAAGTGTTAACTGGCATATATGGAAAGTTATCATAATTTAGCAAAATTGAGAGTTACAGCAACTTTTATATGTTAAGCAATATAGCTTATATATTATATCAAGGAAAATCATTGATTTTTTAATTTTTAATTTTACAATTTTTAAATATCAAAGCTTCAAAGATTTTTTTTAATATTAATTATATGATTTTTAAAATACCAATGTTATAAAAGATATACATTTTTTTTATTCATAGCTATGTTTTAAAAGTATATAGTTTGACATATTTTGATAAAATTTTGAATAAATTATTTATTGATGTTGTCTGTATCTCATTAACCATAACAGTGGGATATATATTATTTTATATATATGCCATAGGCCATTTTATGTAAGCAGTAAGCTATTTCATCTAAGTCATTTAGTATTTTTTATTTTTATTTAAACAAGCGGTAAGATAAAGGAAGTAATTAATGTTATAAAAACCATTTATGAAGTTTGAATGACAATTATGTAGAAAAGTTTGCATGACAATTTTATTATTAAGATATTTTTAATAATTTGGGATCACTTTTCTGTTTTTTGCGTATTGCAGTATTAATAATTTGGGTTCACTTTTCTGTTTTTTTGCATATTTTAGAAAATCTCAGGCTAATTAATATTTGATAACTTATCTTCATGCTTGTTGGTTGAAATTTGAAACACTTATTAATGATTGTTCTATCTGATTCCTATGTGATTTTTGATCACAAAGACTGTTTTTTAATGCCTTTATATTTTTAAATTTATCACTTTTAAATGCAAAACAATCCATAATGTTTTTGACAGATGATGTAAGTTATTGAAATTGGTATACCTATACCTAAGACTTTGGTTGCAGGTGCAAAAAAACATAATTTAAAGAGTTTTTTTATGTTGTACTCCATTTAGCTATATAGAAAAGTTTTTTCTGCACTTTGGCATTTTTCTTACACATTTTCAAACTTTAAAAACTTAGCATCTTAACTATATACTTTTACATTTACAAAATTAAAAAAAAATCTCCAGTTTTTTATTTTTTAATTTTTTATTCATTTTTATATCCATGTTTCCATCTTTTATATCCATGTTTCTATCTTTTGTGCAAATGCAAATAAAAAAAAATTATATTATGTACCTTCAGCTATGTTATCAAATATGTTTACATTTTTTTATACATCTTGTGTATACATTTTTTTGTTGATATTTTGTAGCAATGAATATTTTTTCATAGAAAATATTTTTGATCCAAGTACCATAGAATTATTTTAATACCAATTCTAGTTTTTTGGTGAACTTGGAAGTAATTTGAAAATAAAAAATATGACATGGTTATTCTAAAATCAAATTCTGGTTTTATTTTATAATGCAATGAATTTTATCAACTTTGTGAAATTATTTTCACAAAACAAAAACTTTAATATTTGAAAATTTATTTGATAACCTGTTTAACCCTCTAAACAAAATTTTTCATAATGCAATCTCTGTTTCAGTTAACGTTAGGTTAAATCAAATTTTTTTTGTTTTTATAATGGTCTAACAGTGTTTATATTTGATAATTGATATCTAAAATATATATTTTTTTTGATAAAAAGTAACAATAAATTACTAAAATTTCATCATTTACTGCGATTATTCAAAAACTTAAAAAAGTATATATTAGTCAGGCTTGGTCGGGAAGCGGGAGCGATCGCTCTCGAATACTGACCACGGAAATTATATTTAGTTGCGAAAAACTGGCCAGGTTTTTCAGTCGTTTTGAGAACATTTAAGTTTATTTACGAAACAAAAAATTTTTGTTTTACGGACATACATGGAAACATAAAAACTTAAATGTTATCAAAACATCTTGGTGCGAAAGAATAAAAAGAATATTTGCGAACACTAAAAACCCCCCAAATTAACGAACAAACTAATTCTATTGGTTCAAAAAATACGCTGACTAAGCGAAATAAAATTTTGGAGCATTTTGTTGAAATGTTTTAGAAATTATTTTATTCACGTTTTGTTACGTTTTCAGATTTCTAGCATAAATTGTTTAAAGAATATATTTAAATTGTTTACAAAAATAAATGTTTTAAATATATATTAATTAAATTGTCAAAATTTTAAAAGTTTATTATAAATTATAGATTTTATTTGTACATTCTTATTTTTTATTTAAAAAGTATGTATTCTTTATGTAAATGTAATTTTGTTGATCTGTTTTTTATCGTAATGTATCTTTTAAAGCAATTTTTATGATTTAAACAAAGACTTACAAAAATAATTGCGTTTTCAATAAAGTTATAATCGTTAAAGTTAATAAAACTAATCATGTAACACATATAAGAAGTTTTCTGGTTACTAAACACAAACAACGCATACAAAGTAACTCGCGAATGAACAAGCACCGCGCCTGAGGTCACGACAGAACACAAATATATATAGCAAATAATTAGATATAAAAAAAAGTTTCTAGATATTGGTTTACTAACTCTAATTATTTTCGCTTCATTTGCCATTCTTAAAAACTCGTTACACTTTTTTCTGCTTTAATTACTAATTAAATTACTAATTAAAAAGCCCACTCACTAAACATCATCAGCGATACTGTGAAGCAGTTTTGCTTCCTCGTCATATTTTTAACCTTTTTAGTTGATTTCTATCTTGTTAATTTAATGTCTATAGTAATTCAATGATTTAATTATTTCAATTGTTTATCTTACTAAGAAGAATTGCTTCAAATATGTTAAACTTTTCAAACTACGCGAAACATAAAATAGGTATTAATAAAAATTAGCTTTTTTATTTATAAAATAATTTAGCTTAAATAAAACTAAAACTTGCAAACTTTGTTTAATAAAGAATATTTGTTTCCTTTTTAAACAATCGTAAGATGTTACTTTAGATAAAAAACATCGCTTAATTTTATATTAAATTTTTTGTAATTGTCTCTCATCGGTCCAAATAATCTTTTGTTAAAATGTTCTCAAAACGACTAAAATATCTGGCCAGCTTTTCGCAACTAAATATTATTTACGTGGTCAGCAATCGAGAGCGATCGCTCCCGCTTCCCGACCAAGCCTGATTAGTTCATTAAATGTTTTAAAACAAAACATTTTATTGATGTTTATATTTATTTTACAGAACAAAATAATCTTTAATACTTTTAAAATTATATAAGTATTAGTAATACCTCTTTAATATTTTCAAAAAATAAAAATACAGTTGTGAAGCTCACTTGAAAGTTCAACTTCAATGAAAATTCACTGCGCTAAGAGCAAATGATCTACTTTTATTTTTACATAGTAAATTTAAATAATATTCATTTATATAAATATTTTATAAATAAATTTAGCATTGTGTAATTTATAGACATCTCCATACACACATATGGGAACATATATGTGTATCTGTATGTATCCACGCTTGGTAAGGAAGGAGCGTGATTTCACAGCTTTATATGACTACACAAATAATATTTTGTTTTGACGATTTGACACAGTCTTAAGATTTGATTAAAGCACTGAAAACTTAACTTAGTTAGTAACATAAAGAAACTAAAAAAAACAAACTTATTAAAAAAAAAAAAATCTTTTTAAAAAGATAATGAAAAATAAAATAAAAATAACTTAGTAATAAATAACTAAAATAAAAATAAAAAAAATAAATTCAAAACTTAACTAAAATAAATAATAAGATAATTACGTTTGAAATAAATAACTTTGAATCTTTACAAAAGTTTTTATAATGTAAAACTAGTAGTTTCCTGTCTGCTTTGTTATTGCACTACATAAAATTATATTAATAGTTATTATTAAAATGATAGTAAATAGTACTAATTGACAGAAATATGTAAATAAACACTTTTGTTTTTCTAAAAAACTTGATCGTGCATTAGTGGTATTTTAAAAAAAACCGATTAACTTAACGAGAAAACTATTTTATTTCAATCCTTTGTAGTAATGTAAACAAAAGAAAAATAATTGAATCTTTTCTTTTATCAGAAATCCTATATCAGAAAGCAAATGAGGAAAAGTGAAAATGTAAACAAAAAATAATAAACAAAACTATTCCTTTAATTGATAATTTGATTTAATTTATTAATAATTTAATTCAAGCAGTTTTTATGCTCGTTTTTATTTTATTTAAAATTTTAATAAACTGTTTTGGTGCTTGTTTTTCTTTGCCGTTTTTATTTTAATAATTTTAATTTTGATCTTACTTAAGTTTTTTATTCATGCAATACTCAAAGTGTTTAATTACTAACTGCTGACTTTTTAAAATTAAATAATAATAATTATTTTCAAATTTGTGAATACATATTCAAGAAACTACAATCAAACATTTGCATATTTTTATTCATTTAAACAAAAAAATTGTGTCAAATATTAAGAAAATAAGCGAAATGTTTTATATTTTACAAGTAAAAATTATTATATTATAATATTTCTGCACTGTTTTGAGTTGATTAATAGTTATGCAGTAATTGTCGTAGTTCAAAAAAGTGTTGATAATTATGAAAAGCAAATAAAATGAATTTTGTGATGTAAAAATTTCTGTTTGGTGAATACGTTTTTATTCATCACAAGGTCTGATACAGTGTCTCAAAAAATTATCAGACCAAGCAAGTTTTCCCTAAAAAAATGTTTACGCTCTAAATTATACTAAAAATAGTGAATACTTACTTTGTCTGTCATTTTAGTTTTTGATTATTGGGAATATAATGTTATTTAGCATTCATATTTTTTGATTCATGCTTCAGTTGGTTTATTATTTGTCCTAAAAGAAACTTACTATTGAATAGGGTTGTAAAAAAATTATCTGACCAAGTGATATTTAGGTAAGTTTAATTTTATGTGAAATTTATTGAAATATTTTAGCATATTTTTATACAATTAATGAAATTGCATAGCAAAAACTGTTTTTTTTTGTAGTAAAAAAAAAAAGTTTTGTATAAAAAAATGGTTTCATGTTTTTTTAATTAAAATAGTTGGAGGTAAATGTCACTGCACTGTTTCTCAGAGAAATTTAGTTGTTGATCTAGTCAATCAGGGTAAAACCTATCATCAGGTGCAGCAAGAGACTGGAATTACTCATAAAAGAGTATCTGGCATAATGAAGAAGTATAATTTGATTGGAAAAACAGCCACAAAAGTAGGGCAGGGTCGCAAAAAAAAGACTTCTAAGAGTTTAGAACCTTAGTTATACAAGTCTAAACAAGAGTCTAATAGTTTTGATAGAAACTTTCAATACAAGTTAAGAAAAATTGCTTCATTTCTGCTTGAAAACTGGCTGAGCAAGCTGAAGAAAATTATGGAATCAAATTATCCCATCAGACAATCTGAAATCGAATCCGAGACCAGGGATTTTAAGAATGACTTTTGCATAATAAACCATATTTGAGTAAGAAACATATGAAAAGAAGATTGGAGTTAGCTAAAAAGTCCAAAAACATGTCATTAAGTTTCTGGAAAAAGATTCTGTGGAGCGACGAATTGAAATTCAACTTAAAGTCATCTGATGGAGCCCAAAGCCGGAGAAGCTTACAAATTAAGCTGCATGAGAGGAACTGTCAAGTATGGTGGTGGTATCATGATGGTATGGGGTTTAATGGCTTAAAAGGGTGTCAGAAAACTCCAATTTATTGATACTATTATGGATCAGGGGCAATACAGAAATATAATAAAGCAAAATTTGAAATCATCTGCTTGAAAACTTTGGCTAGAATCTGATTTTACATTTTAGCAAGATAGCAATCCCAAGCATAGTGCCACTAAAACCAAGAAGTGGTTTGCTGAAAATGGGATTAAAGTCCAGTGATTGTGTGGGTCTTGGAATGACCCACACAATCACTGGACCTTAATCCCATGGAACATTTATGGGAAATTTTAGACCAAAAAATTGAAGATCATTCATTTTCCAAAAAGATAACCTCAAAAGTGGCAATTAAAAAAGCTTGGAAAAAGATTCAACCAGAAAAAACAAATTCTTTAGTTGAATCAATGCCTAGATGTCTAGAAGCTGTAATCCAAGCAAAGGGAGGCCCTACAAATTATTAAAAAAATTGTTTTGTTATTTAATGATTATTTATAAAACAAAAAATGTGTTTGGTTGAATATTTTTTTTTTGACAAAAAAACGACCTAAGTTCCTTTATTTAAGACTAAAAACTTTGTGATTCATATTTTACACTAAAATAAATAAAATCTATTTAAAAACATGTTCTTTTGTTTTTATTAATCTTGATTTACTAAAAAAAGTCTAAGTTTACAATAATACATATTATACGATATATATATATAATATAATATAATATATATATATATATATATATATATATATATATATATATATATATATATATATATATATATATATATATATATATATATATATATATATATATTATATATATATATATATATATCAGGCCTTTGAATAAAATTGAATAAGATGAATAAAAAGTGCTTAATATTAATGCTTTTGTATGGGCCTTTATACCTCACGTAAATGATAAAATCCTTCATATATGGGCTCTTTTTTGTAAAATTTTGCATAGGCTATTTGGAACCAGCACACCTCTGCATTCTCTGACAGTAAGGTTGTAATAAACTTTCAAATGGGACCGAATAAAGTTGAATATAGTGTCTTTTTTTGAATAAAGATCAACTGAATCAGTACCCTTGGCTTTTATAAAAAAATTACAAAAACTCAGACTTTTTTTAATGCACTTATCCAATATTAGTATTGAACTATGCAGAGAGTATTGAAGTGAAGTATTGGATCTCCTTTTTTATGGGATAAAGTACCAGTCATGATCTGCTGAATCAATTAAAAAAAGGATGAGTGATATTATAAGCAAGGTAGTTTTTGTTCTACACAATTGCTTCTTTGAAATTTAAATTTGACACTGGTTTCATTCATAGAGACCTGAAAAAAAGTGATCTCAATATTACCATGTTTCTTCAGGTCTTTATGGATGGATCTGGTATCAAATTAAAAAAATCACAGAGAACACAAACTACAAAAACTTATTGACATAAACAGCTATTCCCTACACATTCATGGTTAGACACCAGTGATTTTTTTTTTTTTTTTGTGAAAAACTAGTACAGTAATTTTTTGAAAAATAAATCCATCAATATACAAAACAAACGTTTCATTTTTTAGAAGAATTAAAAAAGTTTTTAATAAACAGATTTGAAAGTAACTAGAACTGAGTAACTACAATTGCTCTCGCTAAGTTAAATAAACAAAGTTTAAAATTGCATTAAAGAAAAAAAGAAAAAAAAAATCATATAGAGGATGATGATCACAAAATCAGAAGTTTAATTCAAAATTAAGATCAAGTTTTTATTCACATATCTATAATATAATCTATAATAAAAATTATGTAGTATTATCTATAATAAAAATTATCTTCATATTTATATATTATCTTCACATATCACATATATTATCTTCACGTATCTATAATATTATTATATATCTATAATAGTTTAAAATTCAGTTTTTCTTTTATTTGCATTTAAAAGTTCAAAGAATTAATTCATTTTTTTATATAGGTTTGTTGTTTGTAACTTGTATCCTTTCCAGAAGGTTGTATCTAAAGAATCTGTTAGTCTCGAGGAAGCGATTGAAAACATTGACATTGGTATTTTTTATAAATGTTCTTGTTTTTAAAATACTAAATTATATTATTTAATTTCAATTTTTCAATTTAAACAGGTGGTGTTACACTTCTTCGTGCAGCAGCTAAAAACCATTTATATGTAACAGTTATTTGTGATACAGCTGATTATAATAGGTATATTAACTTTATAAAAACTCTTAAAAAACTATGAATAGTTTATATATATATAGACTTTTTAAAATATTTGATCATTTTAGTGTTTTAAAAGAAATCTCCCTCTCTGTTGAAAGAAATACTTCAGAAGAAACTCGAAGGACATTAGCTTTAAAGGTTTTTAATATTTTCTATTAAGAAGCAAAGCAATTAAAATTTATTTACAATAAACAAAGAAAATTTAAAACTTACAAAACAAAACTGTTTCACTAACTATTTGCTTTCTTTATTACTATACAAAATTTGTAATTTTTATAAAAAAGGTGTTGATTTACACATACTAGTTTAAGTTAGCTTAAGCTAAAAGTGTTCTAGATAATTGGTTTTTCATTAGAGTCTTCCTCTAATGAAAAACCAGTTATGTAAAACAATTATGTTTAAACTGCATATATAATAAACTGCATCTAAATTATATATTTTTTTTATTATGTAAGTTTTATTATGTTATTTAGAATAAGTAAAACTTAGACATTGACAAAAAAATTAATTGTTATTAAATGAAAAAAACAACAACAAAAAAAACATGTTTACCAAAAACACATTAAATTTTTTGGAAATGATGGCTAATGATACTGCTTCCTGGGCACTTAAGAATTAGCTACTAATATTAGCAATAATTTTTACAAAATTTATCTAAATAATATTTTTAAATAATATAATTTCATAAAAAATATATGTTTCCATGTTTTTAAAGGCGTTTACCCATACCATGTTGTATGATACAGCAATTGCAGACTATTTTCGCAAACAGTATTCCAGTTCAGTTTCTCATCTTCCTTTACGTTATGGAGCTAATCCACATCAAAAACCAGCTCAGTTGTTTACTTTTCAAAGCAAACTTCCGATTACTGTTGTGAATGGAGCACCAGGTTTCATCAATTTATGTGATGCTTTGAATGCTTGGCAACTTGTTAAGGTTTCTTTTTATTTATATCAAAAAAATTTTATCATTTATATAAATATGTGTGTATATTTTGTTGCATTATAATGTTAAGCGTATATCATAATATATATTATAATTCTATAAATTCTATAAAAAGTTTTATATAAATTATAGCTCTGAAAAAAAATCCACTAATATAAAACTGAAAAATTAAAATTCTAGTTGAAAATTATTTAATTATGTTAAAGGGTCCACCAAGTCCCAAGACATTTGGTGTGCATATTAAAGAGAATGTTAAAAAAAAACATTTGAGCAAATTTTTTTTGATTAAAACTAATTAATAAATGGGTACCAAGAAAAACAAATCTTGATGTTTTAGTCAAAGCTTGTCTTCTCCATTTTCTGTGGTATTTGGAGTCTTTAAAATAAATGTGATTTTCCAGGCGAATTATACAGACTTGAAAATTTATTCAAGTGCGTTTAAATCATCAGAGTTTTAGTACATGATGTCATTGGAAAAATTCTAAAAATTCTTCAAAAATTTTACTATTAAATTTTACTAAAATAGCTAACTATAGTTAGTTATTTTATTTTCTAAAATCTTCATATTAAAAAATATTTTGTGTTTTTTTGTAGCTATCAGAGCCATGGCTACATGGGCCACGGCAATAGTGGATCTAGGGACCCCTATGGAGTCAAATTTTTTTAAATGTCCTCTTTTTTTGAACCAAGTAGGTTTTAGTAGTAGATTTTGTATTTATGGATTTTTTGGTTGTTCTGCCCATCTAATAAATTAACATGCTATCAGATGTTGCCCATCGGCTACGCCTTAAATAGGGCGTAGGCAGTAAATTCAGGTTTTCTTTTTTTAAAATTTAAGATTAATTTTACCGAGTTTAATTTTTTTTTTTTTTTTTTCGTTATACCTAATATTCAAATGTTGAGACCCTAATGGTATTTTTAATAGGGAGGGGATCTCCGACCCCATCCATGGCACTGGTAGCTATAATTTGGATTTTATCAATATTTAATGTTATTATATGATATATGATATTTATAAAGATACTGATAAAAAGTTGTATTATTTTGTAAATTTTTATTAGAAACTTTAATTTCTAAACTTTCCTTATGGTATATGTCCATGCCCATCAACAGCCGTTTAGGGGCACCTGGTGTTGACGGCTCCCCCACTTTTTTTTTTAGGATAACTTTTTTTTTCTTTAAATGTAAGATTTTTTCAAAAAATTGGGAAGTGAGCCTCTTTGAAATTTCCCCCACTTTGAAGGCCATGTTGAATTCATGTTATCACTTTAACTGAAATTTAACTTATTTAGTCGTGTGTCAGAATATATATTTAATTAAATTTGTTTTGTAAAATTTGTATGATATTTTTGATTTTAAAAAATTGGAATGAATATTTTTGAAGATTGCAAGAAAATGTTATTATTGAGTTGATGATTCAACAGATAAAATAAATACAAATCAAACTTTCATTTGTTATTTATGTTGTTTTATAATTTGAAAGCAAATTCGACATAAATTGAAAAATACTCAATACAATTCATTTTTTAAACTTGCACTGTGACTGCATTCACTATGTGCACCATCTGTCTTGAATTTTTACCAAGTTATATTAATTATTACATTTGTTAAAAAACAGCTGTGTGTAATTTACTTTAAATGCGAGTTGTATAAATAGTTACAAAAATACTTCGCGTTTTTAAATCCATGGTTATAAAATAATAAAGAGTAAATTTCTAAACGAAAATTACAATGCCACGTTGCACTGTTATTAGTTGCTTTAGCAATAACAAATCGGGCTCTCATATATCGCTTCATAGATTACCCTTAGATCCAATAATTGCAGCTTTATGGAAGAGGGTGGCATGGCCCTCCACTATTTAAATCTTTTGGTCCCTTTAAAGATTTTTTTGATTTGATTTTTTCTCTAACTTCATACGATAACCAAGGCTGTGGAGTCGGAGTTGCAGAGTTTGAGTCACTAAACAAAATCGCGACTCCAACTCCAATAGTAAAACTTCTCGATATTGTACGTGCATGTAGAAAACATTCAATTAACCTTATGTTCATACTAAACCTCAACGAACATTTCATAAATTTGTCAAAAATTTTTTTTTAACTTATCGCGTAATATTTTTTAAAGAATTCAAAGAATTTGTCAAAAATTTTGCGTTGGAGTCGGAGTTGTGCTCAAAAAATCCCAACAACTGGAATCGGAGACGTTGCTTTTTTTTTATAACTCCACACCCCTGGCAATAACAGTAATAATCAAAACTAGAAATAAAATTCAAAAAATTAAAAAAAACTGTGTATGTTCATACTTATGTCATATCAGGATGTTTTCGGAAAAATTGCGCCGATGTGAACAAAAAGGGCTATAAAAGTAGACATTGCCCTCCCAAATGTGGGCAATCAGTTTTAAATATCCTAGAACATCTTCAAGTTTCTAAAATATATATTATATATTCTATTGCGAATAAATTTATTTTAGTATTTGTGGCTATGAAATAGCCGTTTTATTACTTAGATTTTGTCACTTTCAAATCCACCAGTATATTTCCAGGCATCTACCACTTCAGATATACCAAGGCACTTTCGTCATCACCTTCGAAATGTGTAAAATAATAGATTAATTTATTTTTTAAAATAATATTATAGTTATTTTATAATACCTGTGGTAATATTTATTTTATTTAATATTTATAGCCTTTATTTCAAAATAACAAATACATTCTTTTTCAAGTGGCATTGTTTTACAGTATCCACATTTACACCATTGTTCAACAACTATACTCAAACATTTACACCATTATTCAACAACTATACTCAAACGATTAAGTTTCAGCATCACAAAGTTCAAATTTACGTAGCTGATACTATTGTCAACTATTTCGTTCTTTTGGATCTTTACTGGTTTTCTTTATATTTTTTTTAAGGTTCAAATGAGTATGGAGTTGCCAACATTTCAACCATTTATCAAAATTCAAATGAAAAAGTCTAACATGGTTATTCTCTTATCCATATCCCAATTAATAAAATTTAATTAACATAATTATAAATATTTTCTAATATAAAAAATTTAACAGTTCATCAAATATCCTTAATACAGTCGTTTATCGAAATTAATTATTGATTAAAACATCGGAAATATGGAGTAATATACAAAAAGTTGAGTTCTATAGATGAAATTTAAAAAATGATCCCACTGTTTAAATAAAAAACGAAATTCAGAATCTATTATAAGGTGGTCATCTTTTTATATAGAAGAATGCAATAAAAATATATGAAAATTATATGAATATAAAAATATATGAAAATTATCTAAATAAAAAAGTTTTTACTTTTTTCCAAATTGTAATTTATTCTTTAATAAATATTACGCACATAAATTTAAAACTAAGTTAATGAACGGACAAGAAGATTTTCGGTCTTTTAACGATCACTGTCTTACAGAATATAGTATATACTCATTGACATAGGACCTCCCCCCTGTTTCTAAAGAGTTCTGTTTTTCAATTGAAATAATGATTCTGGCTGCATTTTATTTTGGTTTCAGCCCCTCCCCCAACTTTTTGAACCTCCCATAGCCATTTTAAATATATTGGATGTTATAATAATGGAAATATAAATAATGAAATAAGATCACCTCAATACCAAAAAATACATTTTTAAAAATCAGAGAAAATATGTGAACATTTATTAATTAGTTTTAATTAAAAAAAATTTGTTCAGATGTTTTTTTTTAACATTCTCTTTAATATGAACACAACATGTCTCGGGACTTTGTGGTCCCTTTAAGGTTGAATATCTTTGAAAATTTGATTTTTTCTAATATTCTTATGTTAGGCGAACTATTTAAATAGAAAGTTAATCTTAAAATAAAATCTTTCATTCTAACAATCATAAAATGCTCAAATTTTTTAAATTAAATATGATTCTTTAAAATACCTAATATTTTTTAAATTAGTAATTTATATTTAATGTTTTTTATTTAAAACAATCATTAAAATTTGTTACTTTTTGTTGTTGTTGTTAATGTTTTATAATTAATTGTTTTTATACTACTAAGGTAGTATAAAAACATTTAATCAGAAAGTTTACAAAATAACAAAAAAATTTTGGTTTTGATTTTGACTACATTAACTTTATGAATTAAAAAAAAAAATTTATTGAAACACATGGTTGTCTTTTTTATAAAATTATTAAAACAAATTGTTTTAAAGCATTTACATTAATCATTAAAAAAAAAATACTTTTGAAATGAACAAACATTTTATTTAATATTTATGATATACGAAGTTCATTTAATAGCTTAAAACTTTTTTTAAAAGCGTTAAGCATAGTGTAAAAACATTTCATTAGAAAGTTTACAAGCATTATAAAAAATAATTTTGTTATGTTTTGAACTATTAAATTTATGTAATCAACTAAAAGTTTATTAAAACAATTGTTTTTATTGTTTATAAAATTAACTACAAATTGTTGTTACAAATTAATTAATATAAATTGTTTTAAAAACATTTAGATTCATCTCAAAAAAAAATAAAAAAATTTAACTATATAATATCTATCAATAATTTAGAGAAAATGTTTTTTATAGTACACAATCATTAAAAGCAATTTTTAACTTTATTACTTTATTTCAGCGCAATTTTAAAACCTTTTTAAAAATCTTAAAAGTTGTGGTCAAGTTGTTTCAAAAATAAATTAAACGCGTTGTCAGGAATAGCGATCTTTTGAATTATGAATTGTGAAAAATATATATATATATATATATATATATATATATATATATATATATATATATATGTATATGTATATATATATATATATATATATATATATATATATATATATATATATATATATATGTATATATATTCTTATAATTATAAAAAAAAATGGAGTTAAGCACCGGTAAGTAGAGTTTTTATTAAATGTAATTTGTTAAACTTTGGTTACAAAGTTTAATGTATTTAACCCAATTCAAATTCATTTAACTTCGATATAAAAAACTAGTTAATATAATATAATATAATAATTGTATATAGATTTTTGATGTATTGTTTAGGGAAGGATGATTTTAATTATTTTTATTTATTTAGGCTATAATTCTTTGAGTAGTTATTATTTTTTATTTTTGCAATGTTTTTTAGACTAACCATACATTGAATTAGGCTAGGTTGTAAATATATAATGACGTTATAAATATATTATGTAAGTATTTATTGTTTATAACTTATTTTTTATTATATTGTTTTTTAAAGTAAATAGGTAATTATAGTTTTTTTGAATTGACTCTAGTTTCAACAAATGTGAGTTTCAACTAAAGAAATAGTTAATACAATAAATATAATATAACAAATATACCAATTAAAAACTAACTTAGCTGTTTTGAAGTCTCATTCTGAAGTATATACTACATGCGGTAGTGGTGTAGTGGTAGAGCGCTCGTTTCATAAACGTGGGGTTCGGAGTTCGATCCCCACCACGTCCCTGGTAGTACCGCGCTCAACTCGTTTCTCCGCGCAGCGGCCTTGCTCGTCAAGGTTCGTGTTTCGAAGTTATAGAGTTGAGAGAGGGTTATAACCACAGATAAGTAGCCTCCTCGTCTGTAGTGGTCTTCTCGGCCTTGAGGAGGTGAATTAAAAAAAAAAAAAAGTCTTATATTTAAAATACACACTTTTACATAATCTTTTACGTAATCTGCAGACTTGATAATTACATAAATGCATGTCTAATTCTTAAGAGTTTTAGTATTTGACATCACTGTAGACTAATAAATTCTCCAGATAGGAGTCGTCCACAGAGTACGTACGCTCTTTTTTTTGCCAACCCTTCCCCTCCCTCCCTCTCTCCTCCCCCCCTCCCACCTCTGCGCATTTTGCCATACGCTTTTTTGAATACTCTTTACCTACATAAAAGTACATATGCTTTTAACCTACCAACCCAACATTTTATGATATTTTTTTGAATATATTGTCTCCATACTTTTATAATTGACCTACTGCCTCCTTATCTCAGAAACTCAATTTGCAGACTTCATCTCCGAGCATATGTACTTTATGGACGATCCCATATAGTTCATGAATTTTTTGTTGTTTATACTTAATTTTTTTAACAATTTTTTTTTTCTTTAACAAAAGAAAAAAATAATTTGCTTCTAATTAATCTTCTAAATAATCTTCATGTATTTAAAAAGCAAAAAGTAAAATCTAAAATTATAAAAAATTTTTACTTTAATAGTTTTGAATTTTTAAAAAATTTGTGAAAAATAATTCAAATAAATTTACTTTGCAGATTATAGGTATTTAAAAAAAGTAATTAAAAAAAAATGTTTAAAAAAAATTTTTTTTTCTTTTTTTTTTTCTGAATAAAGGTGAAAATCTTTATTTAGTTGAATATTTCATTTCACAAATGTTTACAGAGACAATTCAAAAGAAAATTCTGAAATTATTAAGAAATTAAACATGTTTGAAAGGATTTTTTAAGTCTGTAAATTGCTTATGTTAAATTGTTTGTATTTTAAAGACTTTAAGATAAAACTAAATACAAAGTATGGCAAAGGCAAAGTATTTATTAAACTGATGATACATTTCTTGGATGGATTTTTTTTCTTTTAGGAGTTAAAAGAAGCACTAGGTTTGCCAGCTGCTGCATCATTTAAACATGTCAGTCCTGCAGGTAATGAAGTTTGTTTAAATTTTAATGGTATTAACAGTTTTTTTTTTATTTTTTTTATACAAGAACACCTAGTGGGCATACATCATCCTAGAGAACTCTGTCAGGTGTCTTACAGACATCTGAATGTTAGTGAGATGTCTTGAGTATGTCCCCCAGACAATACGTGTTTACTGGGCAAGTTCATTTAAAAAATGGAAATTAACCTGATCTTGTGTTAAAACAATGTGTAAAACATACAAAAAAACTCTGAAAAAAAAGTACATTACATAAGATGCCTAACACATATAGGTCTGAAATATTACCAAGTTTGCCAATACCCCAAGGTTGTATATGTAACATAAATCACAGTTTATAAACACTCACATTTTATTGCACCATTACCTGAAAAGTGCCTGAGAGTACAAGTTTCTACAAATAAACAGTAAAGTAGAAAAGTATAGTCATTATTAAATACCAACTTAACATGCATTTCATTATTAAATACCAAAGTAACATGCATTTCATTTTTATGAAAGTTATTAAAAGTTAAACAAACCTGATTTAAAAAGAAAATCTAAAGAAAACTTGAACCTTGTTTTTAATCTTATAAGTTTTGTTAAATATTGAATTATAAGAAATATTAAGAAATAGTTATAAGAAAAATTATAAGAAATAGTTATAAGAAAAATTATAAGAAATAGTTATAAGAAAAATTATAAGAAATAGTTATAAGAAAAATTATAAGAGGAATTTTTAAAACATCTCAAGATTCTTTTTTTAACAGTTGATCAGAAAACTGAAAAAAACGTGAAAATTAAAATGATTACATCAATTTAAAATTGAATTATTTTAAAAAAAGTTTCGATTGAATATTTTATTAATTTAAAATTAAAAAAAATTAGGTTTAGTTTCTACACTTTTGAACAAATACACCAAAAGTTAAATTTGTGATGCACTGTTCCAAAAAAATTGTGGTGCTGTATAAAGGATTAAGATTTAGGATCCTTATTTCTGTGACCTTTATGTGTTTTCTGTGACCTTTTTGTGTTAGGCACTAAAGTTTGACGTCTTTTCCTTTTGTAAATTTAGGCTTGTATACTAAAAATTGTAAAAATCAAAGTGCAGCATAAATTAACCTGGAATAATCCTTTTGATTATTAAAATATTTATACCTGTAAAGCCACAATGCTCAAAATCTTCTAGAAAGTTTATATTTTTGGGATCATTTTTTTTTATAGGAGCTGCTGTTGGAATTCCTTTAACTAATGTAGAAGCAAAAGTGTGCATGGTAGATGATTTAGCAGAGTTGTCTCCCTTAGCTGCTGCGTATGCTAGAGCACGTGGTGCTGATAGAATGGCTTCATTTGGAGATTTTATTGCACTTTCAGATGTTTGTGATGTTTCAACTGCAAAAATAATTTCAAGAGAGGTATTTTAAATTAATAGTTAAAAACAAAATATAAATATACAATACTGAAGTTTTGTACACCCTTTTGTGCACCCTTTTGTGTTTATTTTATACATCCTATTGTTTTCATCTTACAACCTGATGTGTTCATTTTGTTTTATGAGTGATATGAGTAATATTGGAGTTGTTTAATAGCATCAATTCAACTTCCTTCATCATATTATCTTAAGATTTTTTTATCCTTAACTAGCTAACTATTATGTTAATAAGGACAATTGACTTATAATGTTAATGCTGCTAATTGAGGTTAGTAGCACAAGTTGCTTCACTTTTTTTTTATATGAATCAGCATAGCAGTGCACAGGGTTAGTTCAGCTTGTAAAAGTATATTTAAAAAAGAAAAAATTAAAGCTAAGCAGAGTATAGCAAAGTAAACCTATATTTATGAATGGTAATGTACTAGATGAGTCATCTACCATTCATCTTCTAGGATTAACTCTTACTTCTGATCTTTCTTTTAAACCGTATATCAAATCCATTGCAAAATTAGCATCTGCTAAGGTTGCATCTCTTTATCGAGCTCGACACTTTCTTACTCCAGATTCTATTCTCTATCTCTATAAATCTCAAATCCGTCCCTGTATGGAATACTGTTGCCACATCTGGGGCGGATCTTCTAATGATGCTCTTTCTCTTTTAGACAAGGTGCAAAAACGAATTGTAAACATAGTTGGACCTGCTCTTGCAGCCAATCTCCAACCTTTGTCACATCGTCGTAATGTTGCTTCTCTTTCTCTTTTCTACAAATACTATAATGGGCACTGCTCTAAAGAGCTAGCGTCCCTTGTGCCATCTACTAAAATTCACTCTCGTGTTACTCGCCATTCAATTAAGTCTCATCCTTTTTCTGTGACTGTTCCTAAGTGCTTCAAAAACTCTTATTCTTCTAGTTTTTTTCCTCGAACATCAGTTCTTTGGAATTCGCTTCCTTCATCTTGCTTTCCTGATTCATATAATTTGCAATCTTTTAAGTCATCAGTCAATCGTTATCTTGCTCTACAGATTTAGTCTTTTCTCTTCCAGTAACTTCCAACTCTTATAGTGGTTGCTTGCAGCCTTGTTGGAAGTGAAGATGTTTAAAAAAAAAAAAAAAAAAAAAAAAAAAAAAAAAAAAAAACATTTGTATAACATGTAAAGCATGGATATTTTTGCTAGTGTCAATATCACAAAATGTTCACTAATTTTGATAAATAATTATAAGAAAAAATTAAAATATTCTTAACTTTTACCAATAAACAATATGGCTAGATTAAAGGAATTCAGATTTAAGTATCAATATCACAAAATGTTCACTAACTTTGATAAATAATTATAAAAAAGGAATTCAGATTTAAGTATCAACATATGGCTTCAGGACGCGACAAATTGATGAGCGAACATTTGTTAGAAAAAAGGACAGAAAAACGAGTGTTACGTTTCTTTACTTTTTCTTAAGCATTAACATTGGTATACGCTCTTTTTAAATGAAATTTTTTTAAATGAACACATAATTTCAGCAATTTTGTTTTCCAATTAATTATGCAATTGATAGTTTTTTATTTATAGTAAAAAAACAATTAGTTACTAAAATTTAAACGCATTTTCAACGACTTTTAAAGAAACCAAGCTAAAACAGGATTATTTTCATTAATAGCTTACTTTTAATTTAAATAACAAGTAAGCTATTAAAGAAAGTAATTTTGTCTTAGCATGATTTTTACATGCATTTACAAAAGTTTCTATAAGTAAATGTTTAAAATATATAGAAGATATGTAAATGAATGCATTAGCTATTACTATAAAAGAAACCATGCTAAAAGATTGTTTTATTTAAAAATATGCCTTTTTAAAAAATTTTCTTATCCTTTAAATGAAGCAATGATTGTTTGCATATTAAAAACACTTTTAAAAGTTTTGAATTTTTAAAGTTTTACTGAAATATAAATAATCTAATATATAGAATTATTGTAATTTAATAACTTAACAACAATACTTTATAACAATACTTAATATGGTATTATTATTTTTAAAGGTTTAAAAAAAATCAATATAACTTCTATTTTATTTTTAGTTCCCTTTTAATTTAATTTCCTCAAGTTAATACATTTTTTTATAAATGCATTTAACGAACTAAATAAGGAAAAATTCACTATTTTGTACTAATAGATAACCGTTTACAATCATTAAGTTATTGCATATTATTTAGGCTGTTGTCCACAAGACAAAATTTTTTCGTCGATAAGCATGCACAGATAAAACATTTCTGCTAATATCAATCAATTGCTGCAACAACAAAAAAAAGTCAATCGTTATGAACGAAAACCAGTCATGTTTAAAAAGTCAACAATAACAAAAAGCATGTTTTATTTTAAATTGGCAACAACATCAATAAACAATGCTCAACTTGGTGTTCTTATTTACTTATAAATCACCCTGAAAATTAGCAAGCATTAGCGAATTTGTCAAATAAAGATGAATTTACCAATGCTGTCAATTCCAATAGTTTCATTTCACAAGAAGGTTTATCTTCTTTTAGAGTTGTACCATCTATTAATTATTACAGTAACAGTTTTTCAACAGAAGTGTTGCTATGAGAAGTTAGCATTTATTTACTTGAACATTTTTAAAAATACAATACGAATATACATTTTATATATATATATATATATTTTTTTTTCAAAAGCATACAGCGTATGCTTATAGCTGTCTTTTTTTTTTGAAAACAAAAATAGTAAAAAAATAATATGTGGAAATCAAAACGGCATTTCATCATGACGAAAAAATTCATTTCGTGATATATTTTTATCTTGTGAAAAGCGGCCTTTGATGAAATATTGTATTGAAGTAATAAGAAATTGAATAAATTCAATAAGCATGTTTGATATATCTAATTATTCATTAACTGGAATAAAAGTTATTTAAAAATCAATCTCCTTTATAATTTAATAAAAGATTATTTAAATAAAAAAATTATTTGAAAATAAAACTTCCATATTTGACATATGCCTCTTAAATTAGACATTTGTCTATAAATAAAGATACAAATGTCCACGTTTATTTAACAAAAAAGCACTTTAAAGTGTTTAAATTTTTTCAATTAAATTTAAGAAAATAAGTTTTTTAATTTGAAATGTTTTATTGTAGTAATATTTATGAACTTTATGATTAATTGTAAAAAATAAATTTTGAATTAACATTTAAAAGATTTGCAACAACATGTCTTTGATATGCTTGGATGTAATGAAAAGTTATTAGTAATTAATCATTTCAAAGAAGAAGATGTTTCAGTATCATATAATGATTGAAATAATAAACTATGAAAAGGGTCAGCGAACCGATAATTTAATGAAAAGTATTAAACAGCCAGTTTTAATGAAGAGACAAGTGTCAACATTATATAGAAACTCTAAAAATTATCCATCCATCTCAACAAAAAAGATTGTGTCTCACGAGGTTGTATCACCAATAATATGTCAAAAGTATGTTTGCAACACAAAAAGAGACATGCCGCTAATATAGTAAATAACATTAAAATATAGTAAAGAACAGCTCAAGATTCTAGACGGTGTTGTCAATTGTGTCGTAATTTTTTAAAAAAGGCACTCTTGTCATTGTTAACAAAAAATATTTTATCTTCTCAAGCAATGATGTTTGAAGAAATGATGGCCAATTAAAGACTTTTTAGCAATTCCGTCCTGTACTGTGTACAAATGTACATGTGAGGCTATGTCTGTGTTACAATTGGAAAAAAAAATTAAAAGAAAATAAAAGAACTTGATTTAAATGTTGTCCTCAGAATATGAAAAGAAAGGTGCAATAAATTAAGAACATTGCACAGAACTGGTTTTTTTGAAATTGAACCTTTCTTTGTTTTTGTGATTAAATATTCTATAGAAGAAAATGAAAGCGCATCCATAGAGAAGTTGTATTTAAATCATTTTTGTGCTCAATATTTTTTTCAACTAAGAACTTTGCTCAAGCAATGGGGTTACAAATAATAAGACTTTAGTCTTCTACCTGCTCCTGTCATATCTTAACTCAAACAGAATATATTGTAAATAATTTATTATTAATATGATGATATATTATATATATATATATATATATATATATATATATATATATATACATACATACATATATATATATATACATACATATATATATATATACATACATATATATATATATATATATATACATATATATATATATATATATATATATATATATATATATATATATATATATATATATATATATATATATATATATATATATATATATATATATATACATACATATATATATATATACATATATATATATATATATATATATATATATATATATATATATATATATATATATATATATATATTATATATATATATATATATATATCCTTTTTTTAATTATTTTCTAAACATTTATTATTTGTCAAAAGTTTGTTTTAATGATTAAACTTTTTTTATTGAACTTTTTTTTAAGGTGTCTGATGGAATCATTGCACCTGGTTATGAGGAAGAAGCTTTAGCAATACTCAGTAAGAAAAAAGGGGGTCAATACTGTATTTTATCTGTAAGTGTTTGTACTTATTGCATTTTTTTATTGTAAGTAAAATTTGTGTATTTTTCTACTCTAATAAATTTTATATTTTCAGATGGATCCATTTTATGAACCAACTCCAACAGAAACACGTACTTTGTATGGGTTACAGTTAGAACAAAGCCGAAATGATGCTATTATTAATGCAGCAATGTTTACCAACGTTGTTTCCCAAATCCAAGAGGTTTTACATTTTTACTTTTATAGGAATCCTCTTATAAAGAAATTATTTGATTTCAAAGTAAATTCAAGTGAATAAAAGTATTCAAGTGAATGATTTGGCTTTATCTAAAGTTAAAAAAAAAAAAAAAAAAAAAAAGAAGTCATAATGTGCAAATTAAGTGAATTTGATATCTAGAATTACTTTTGGTTTTCCACTTTATAGTTTTTTAAAAACTGCTATCTCTGTTTTTATCACAAAATTTAAAAATTATTTAATTAAATAGATTTATGAATTGATCTAGATTATAAAATCTCATAATACCCTATTATTTTTAATATTTATCTTTAATAATAATGAAGGTGTTAAAACAAATATTTAAAAAAATATCAATCTTTTATTTTATTTAAAAAGAAAACAAAAAACTCTAAAAATGTATGTAAAATTTTTTTAAATTTATTTTCTTTTTATCGTTATTTTTATAATCAATTAATTAAAATTTAATTTAAACATTTAGATCTTTGAATAAATATTTCTTTAAGGTTTCCTCCTAACAAAAAATTACTAGTTTAACTAGGTTATTGAAGTTCTTTTGTTCAGTTATCAAATCTTCTTTCACATTTAGATTTAAAGTTGTGGAAAAAAATATTTTTGTGGCGTTAAAAATTTATACACACTCACAAAAATTAGATTTTAATATTTTGTACAATACCTAAGTCAGTTATTTTTGTTTTGTAATTTATCTATAAATGTTACAGTTAACTTTTCTTATTAAAAAAAAAAAAAGTTTTTAACTATTTAGTAAAATCTTATGATTTTAATTAGTTGATGTTTTAAAGTGTTGACTATTTCAAATTTACAGCCCCTTTATTAGGCATTTTTTATAATATCTTTCTAAAAAGATGATTCTGGTCCTTTCTAATGGTGTTAACTCTATATCTGAAGATATTTTCTGTTACAGGGAGTGTACTTTTTCTAAAGATTTATTATGATTTTAAAAGATAACATCATCATTAAAAAAAAAAATTACGAATATTCTTTCAATGATTAATGAATTTGTTAAAAACATTTATTCAAAATTTTATTTCAGGTTTCATCAGATGCAATCCGAGATTTGATTGTAGCAACAATAGCTGTCAAGTACACCCAATCTAACTCTGTTTGTTATGTTAAAAATGGTCAAGTATGTATCATTTACCTTTTTTTCTTGATGTTGGTTTTGTTATTAAAATTATTACAGATTTTTTTTTTTTACCTGTGATTTGATTTCCTTTAAGACATAGTAAAGTTGAGTTTAGGGTTGTGCAAGTCTTTTTTTGCTAATAACTATTTTTTCTTCTTAAAAACAGTATCTTTATTGAGTATTGGTTGTTAATATCCAGCAGATTTTACTTTGTTTAAAACTATAATTCAACAAAAGATTTATGTGATTTGAGAATTTTTAATTATTTGTGTTTTTGAAATGCCTTTTTTGTTTGTTTGTTAGAAATTCCTTGAGTGATATGCTCCTTTGCAGTTGTTTTGTTGTCTTACAACAACTTTTCTTTACACTGGATGAAAACTTTGCCTCCTATAAGTTTGATACTTTGTTTTGCAAGATGGCTGAAACAAAAAATATTGCACACAGATTTTTTGTATATTTGTTCTAATGTTCTGATAGAATGTTAAGCCATTCGTGTGGTGTTCCTGTGGTGTTGTGAAATACAATGAAAAGTTTTTCTTTGTTGCTCTAATTAGTATTTTGAAGTTAATAAGGATAAAATACTTTTTTACTTTAAGAAGTAGCAAGCGATTTGGCATGCAATTTAGGAGGAGGTCCTGTAAACATAAAGAGTAACTGTAGCAAGTTACATGTCTTTTTTTCTAGCAGTACTTTAAGCAAGACATTTCTCCATCACAATGAGTTTCGAAAAATTCTGGTGTTTATCCAGTTGATTTTGGTTTTTCCATTCTGTTTACTGATCTTGGTCTATAAACTGTTTTAAAAAGTTTAATGTTATTTAAGGCTTAACTAGATCTACAAGAATTTTTATTTTTGATCTTTTTTAAACAAAGTTAAAGCTTTTAAGTCAAACAGAGTTAGTAACTATACATTTCATATTGTAAAAAATGGAATTAAGGAAAGAACTTAATTATTTTATCAAATATGCTCAATAAAAATATTTTATTAAAAATTAAAATAAATATTGTAATACTTGCTTCTGTAATACTTAATGATTTCATGCATTAAAATGAAAATACTGGGTAAGAATGTTTGAAAAGTTCTGGAATGAGAGAAGTGATTTATCTTATTTTTCCTCTATGGTGTTTTGAAACAAAGCTTTTGTATGATATTGATTGAATTTCATAAAATTATTCCTGAGTCATTAAAAAGATAGGTTTAAACCAATCTAAAAAATATCAATTAAAACCAAACCAATTTTTTTATTGAAAATATTAAAACCAATTGGAATCGCTCTAGATAAGTTGCAAAGAGATCAAACAAAAATAAGTGGCACTTATAATTTTAAAAAAGCTGATAAACATGTTATCATTTTTATCAACTGATAAAAAAATATTGGCAACTAGATATCTTCAGACTGTCAGTGGTGCTCATTTGCTGCCAAACACGCTAGATCCTAGATAATTTAGATCTAATCTTTCTGAAAATAAAGCTGCAACGACCTTAAATATAAAGAGCTTAAGAACTTGATACCAATAATATTCAAGTTTTCAGCCAAATTTTCTCCATTCGATAAAAGCTATTTGTATAGTGAATCTGTTTTAAAAAATGTATCACCAATAGAATAATGGAAATCTCTAAAATATTTGGACTGCAACATTATCATGGATATTGAAGGTTGTTAAGCGCACCAGCTTCTATTGCTGGAATTAAAAGAATTTTTTCAATTTTTGTACTTGTTTATCCCAAGTTAAGAAACAAGATGGAGTAGAAAAAGTGGCAAAGCTTGTTTTTATGTACAGAACATTAAATAATGATGTATTGATTGATGAATTATAGCAGTAATATTGATAGAAAATATTATTTACTCAAGTAAAATGACTGATGTTTTTTTTAATTGAAAAAGTTGACTAAACATGGCGGGTTTTTTTTTGTTGTTTTTTTAAAAATAAAGTTTCAAGCGTTCTCCTACACCACTACACCACTAGCACATTACCAATAATTTAGAAATATATAACAATATACAGCTCAGATATAAATCTTCTATCATAACATGGAGGGTAGTTGATGGTTTTAACATATATTGAAACATGCATATAAAATGCATAACCATAACTGTCACTATAAATTGTTTGTAAATAATAAATTGTTTATAAAATAGATTATTTTAGTTATTACGTTTACATCATTAAACATAATACTATTCTTGTTTTACTATATAAAATGAAAATTAAACAATAAAAAGCTATTTTTTACTAATACTTTTTTTTTGTTTATTATATTTCAGCATTTTTTTAAAATGTAAACAAAATTTTTGAAGTAAACAAAACTTGAATTAATAATACTTTATACAGATAAAGCATCTTTATAAATTAAATATCATCCAAACCACCTTGCAGTGTTCTGAAAAGTTTGATATTTGGCAAAAATTAAAAATTTTGATAACTTTTTTTAATATTATTTTTAAATTCTGCATTATTCAGGTTCAAAAGTATAAAGTTTTTATACTTTTGCTTGAAAGAAAAGTCAAAAACCATTTCCAAAATGCATAAATAACTTCATGCAAAATTAAAGCATTTATTTGTTTTTATATGAATTTATAATTATATGCATATATCTATATATTTTTTTTATTAAGAAATTTTATACAGGGTGGCCACTGGTCATAGAAATCATGGAAATGTCATGGAATTTTATTTGGTCATGGAAAAAGTCATGGAATTCCTAAATTTTCATTGAAAATCATGGAAAATTCATGCGACTTTTTAAAATAATATTCATTTTTTTCTGCTTGTGATATTTTTAGGATGCAAAGAAAAGTACTAGTATGTTATAGATAATTAAAGATGTAAAAGAAAAAAAGTTTTTTTCAGTCATTATTTCAGAACTTTCTACCAAATGCTTATTGGCAAGTACTGAATAATTTACTGGATAGTGGTTTATCATAAAAGTTTATGAAGAGTCATGGAAAAGTCATGGAATTTTATTTTCAAATTTGAGTGGCCACCCTGTTATAATATAGGGTTTAATTCGAAATAATATATTTTTATAATTATTATTATTTCGAATTAAACCCCTATACTATTTTTCAAATAGAGATTTCTTGGTTTGATTCACTTAAGAATTGAGTCGCTGTCATTGGTACTCTGCTCAGGTTATACATCACACTATGGAAAAGTTTGAATTTGAGTTAACTTTATATGACAACAAGCCACCAAAAAGACAAAAACGTTAAACTGATGAGAATATTGCAACTGCAGCAGCCAGTGTTGTTGTTGAGTCAAATTTGAACATTTCACAATGATCGTAATAATCTCAGACATCAACTCGGATAATAATGCATAATGGTCTGAAGTTGCATCCTTATAAAGTTGTGTTGACTCAGAACTAAACCCAATTGATCACATATTGCGTCTATAATTTCCTGATTGGGTCTTTGAGCACTTGAAACACAATCCTGATTTTGCCAAAAAATCATCTTAAACAAGGTACATTTTTAGTTGAATGGTTTTTTAATAAGCAAATTGCTGCTATTTGTGCAAGGATAACCCAGAAGTGTTACAAGTAGTTCTTCTTGCTCTTTGTATCTTCATCAGACCTTGTTTCTTTTTAAAATAAAAATGAACAGCTGTAACCGGAAATGGTTATTGCTATAGAACCTTGTTACTTGAATTTATATGGGCAGAACTTGAAAAGGTCAATATTTAAAATATCGTTCCAACAAAATGGGCGTCCTATGATTCAACCGAATCTCTAATTTTAATTTAGAACCGAATATGAGAAATTTATTACACAACCGAAAATATTAACGAAAAAAATTAGAACCGAAAAAATTTCAATTGAATTTTCGATCGAAAGTCATTAATGATTTTAGAACCAAATTTCATTAAAATGGTTTACAACCGAAAGTTACACTTAATTAATTACAATTAAGTGAGCGTTTTTAGAAAACGATGAGGGAAAACGAAGAAAAATGAATGAAAAGGTTGCTGACCCATACCAAGCCCTCAGTCGATGTAGCAGCACTCCACTGCGAGTCAGGCTATTTGTCAGTCGATGTATGTACTGAAGCCCCCAGCAGCAGGCTATTTGACGTTAGGTGAGTACGACATCATCATGCTCACCTAACTCAGCAGTATAAGATATATGTATATATTTAAAGAAATTTTAATTGTTTATTTTATTGTAAAACGACTAACTGAAAAAAAAAATAGATTAAAAAAAGAAAGGATTTTGTAATTCGATCCAAATTTTTTCGGTTGTAAAATTCGGTTTAAAAACTTTCAGCGCAAGAAAGGATTTTGTAATTCAATCCTGCAATGAAAGTATACTTTTCGGTTCTAAAATTTTCGGTTGTGAAATATTTCGGTAATATTTTCGAGGATAAATATTTTCGTCTCTATCATGTGACACGACAAAATGCATATTTTAGTATATTTAAAGCCCATGTTAAATGCATGTAAAATCTGCTATTGAAACTGTATATTTATGATCACTAAATAATTACTAAAAAAAAATCAGCAGTGTATAATTAAAATAAAGGAACTTCTATCATGCAAAAATACTTGTAAAAAATAAACGGAAAGGTATATATATATATATATATATACCTTTCCGTTTATTTTTGCATGAAATCCTGGCATAAAAATAACAAAAATATAGTGTCAGTACAGTATAGTTTGAAATAGATAGAAGATATATATATATATATATATATATATATATATATATATATATATATATATATATATATATATATATATATATATATATAAATATATAATAATATAATATATAATAAAATATATATATATATAATAAAATAAATATATATATATATAATAAAATAAATATATAATAAAATAATATATAAATATATATAAATATATATATATATATATATATATATATATATATATATATATATATATATATATATATATATAAATTTGAAATAATATGAAACCACAAGCAAAAAATTGTAAATGTAAACTTTTTTAAGTTTTTAAATTGAATTCCATTTATTCTTCACATTTCCACACAGTTCTAGAATTCCACTTATTCAATAATTGAACAGCAAAACCTTTATATAAAAAATGTTTTTTAAAATTTTTAAACTTCAGTTTTAATTTTGGCAAAAAATCAATTTTTTCAGACCACTTTAAAAACCTTTAAAAACGTTCTTCATGAATCATTTTCATCAGTCATAGTCATACATAAGTTCTGTTGATTAAAAATAATTAGTCAACATAAGTTCTGTTGATGTAAAACCTGTAGAAAGCTTTATTGTAGTTTTTTTTTTGACAGGTTGTTGGTGTTGGTGCTGGTCAACAGTCTCGGATACATTGTGTTCGCCTTGCAGGCGAGAAAACTAATCTTTGGTAAACTTGAAACCTTTTTTACAAAACATTTGAATACAAGCTTTCTTTTTTTTTTAATTTTATTTAGAAGTTTTTAGAAAGTTTGTAACAAGTAAAGTGTTAATATTATTTTCTTTTCAATTATTCAAAAACATATACAAACAAAAAAGATACAAAATGCATAATAACAGTTTTTTTATAGATATAATCTTTGGTAATATAATATCAAATTTGGAACTAAAAAGTTTATTATAAAAATATTTTAAAATTAGTTATGTTGTTAATGATTTTGATTTAATATTTCAACATAGGTGGCTTCGGCATCACCCAAAAGTGCTGTCTCTAAATTTTAAAAAGGTCTGTTTTTTCTGTTTTCAATTACCACTAACACACACAAAAAAAACTTATAAAAGTTTATGCATAGATATATGCATACATACATACATACATACATACATACATACATACATACATACATACATACATACATACATACATACATACTTAGCATATATAGATATAAATTTTGCAGCTTAAGCGGACTTAAATCAATACGACTTTTTTGGAAAAAGAAGAGAGAAAAACAAACAATTGCCTTAGCGGCAATCTCTCTTGCATGTTCTAGATAGCTAGTTGGTGTGTGTACTAAAACGTATAGCCACTAAACTAACTACTTATACTAAAACATAGCTACATATATATATATGTATATATATATATATATGTATATATATATATATATATATATATATATATATATATATATATATATATATATATATATATATATATATATATATATATATATATATATATATATATATATATATATATATATATATATATATATATATATAGAGCCAAACCTTGCAATTTGAATTTTCACACTGGTACTATTCCATAATTTGACTTGCAATATTGCAATATTGAAGGTTGTTTGCACACAAGGTGACTTTTGAGATGACTTTAGAGCTGATGCTATGTGACATATGCTGATGCTAGATGTTGTTGGTTTAGTTTCAGAGGGCAGTGGCTGAGGTAGTTTAGTTCTTGTTGCTAGATTTGGTGATGGCACTATCATAGATTCTGGTTGTTGAGATAATGAAGGCTCAAGTTCAGATCTCGGTGTTTCGAATGTATTAGAAATTTGCAACTTTGACTGATCGATTTTATCGATGTTGAGTGGTAACAAGCCAGTATTCTAAAACCTAGTGACTATCTGGGTACGTGTAAAAACTTCACCAGAGCTGAAAAGTTTTTTTTGCTGACTGTGACTGAAACATTCTTTTGATAAGTTGCTAAACTTTGTCTCTGCATAAAACTGTTGAAGTAATTTGCGCCAAACTCTTTTGACATGAAAATAAACACCAACATTTAGTGGCTGTAGAACGAGTTTCATTCATTTGTTAGAACCATTTTATAAAAGCAGTAAGTAAAAGTAATATAAATTCAGTTAGGAAAATTTGTTCATTAAAATTTATACAAAACTTTATAATTGGAGATTTATTGGTCACTTGAGACCTAATAAAAAAAGCCGCTTTTAAGAAATAAGCTATTGCTTCGTATTCATTTATTAGCATATTTCATTCAACCCCGCAACACTCAGTTTCTGTTTTTTACTCATAACTTTTTTTCCTAAATAGCAAATTTAATTTTGAAAAAAGATTCTTGATCAGCATATAAGGTTGTATCAGTAAACATTTTAAGTTCAATGATACCGAATTTAATTTCCGAGAGTTTTAAGTTCTCTTTTCAAACAAATAAAAAAAATCTTATTACGCCTTCGAAAACTTATAAATGTATAACAAAATATTTTTAATTAAAAATAAAATTTTATACAATCTTACTCAGTAAAATATTCTCTACAATATAATCAAAAAATATTTACAAAAAAATTATTCAATTGTTAATTAAGAGCGAAAGAATAAACATTGTCATAACTATTTCATTCTACCCGCTATTTCATTTTATCCTGTTTTATTCTTCTAGTTGTAGCATAAGTTGTAAAAAAAAAAAATTTCAATTATTGCTCTCACATTCAGTATGTGTTGAAGAAGAAAATCTGTTGAAAGAGTTTGTTTTTTTCAAACTGTGATTACGACATTTTTTGTAAAGGGTTTACAAAAAATTTTATCTTAATAAGGTTATCAATCAGAGTTAGATTCAGGCCTAAAAATACATATCTTACAAACCAAAATACCACTGTTAGATGCCACTATGCATAAGTTTATTAATGTATAACCATATAACATATTTGTTGTTACTTCTATAATTCAAAATAATTATTCAACACTTATTTAAAAACAATTAAACCTTAGTCTTAATTTAACTGTCTTAATTTTTTAGAACCTGAAACGAGCTGAAATATCAAACTTAATAGATGCTTACGTAGGAAATACTATTGGTCAGGTAAACTTTTTTGAAAAGATGATTTTTATTTACATAAAATAGAGTAAAACTTTTGATTAGAACTTTAATCTTTATTTAACTTTATTCTTCTCATGGTTTAAGGATATAAAAGAGACCGATTTTAAGCAAAGTTTTGAAGTTCCACCTGAAGATTTTACTGAAGTAATGAAAATATTTTTTATGACTCTTTGCATGATTGTCAAAGTGTATTTCAATAGATAATGCATATTTTTTATTCAATTGTTTAGTGTGAGCGCCAAGATTGGGTTAAAAAACTAAAGGGGGTTGTGCTGAGTTCAGATGCTTTCTTTCCCTTTAGAGATAGCATTGATCGAGCAGTTCAGGTACTTTACTAAATTTTTATATAATGTTTCTTGTTATGCATGAATGTATGTTTGTATACATATATATATATATATATAATATATATATATATATATATATATATATATATATATATATATATATATATATATATATATATATATATATATATATATATATATATATATATATATGTATATATATGTATATATGTATATATGTATATATGTATATATATATATATATATATATATATATATATATATATATATATATATATATGTATATATGTATATATATATGTATATATGTATATATATATATATGTATATATGTATATATATATATATGTATATATGTATATATGTATATATATATATATATATATATATATATATATATATATATATATATATATATATATATATATATGCATACATTTATCCATACATGTATGTTTAATAATTTTTAGAGTGGTGTTCAATATGTATGTAGTCCGTCTGGCTCCACTGCAGACAAAGCTGTAATTGAGGCTGCAAATGATCATGGTGTTGTACTGGTACATACCAATACTAGACTGTTTCATCATTAGATTTTATTTTTCTAGATTAACATAAAAAAGACAAGTCTTGAAATATTTTTGTATATTAATATTTAGATATAAAATAAATTTAGTATAAAACTATAAAACTTTTTATTTGTAAAAAAAATAGTAATATAAATTTTTTTGATAATAAAAAATTCGATAGCCATATAAGTATTGAATAAAGAATTTGTAATGTTTAACAAGAAAAAATCTTTTTGCACAACCTCAATATAATGTACAAAATTTTAAACATTCTGTTTTATAATATACATTTAAACTTGAATTTTGATCTTTAAAGATATGAAATGTTTAAAATATTTAACACTTGTTTGAATAGTGTCTTCTATTTATTAGTTATTTAATTATTAGTTCATTAAAAAAAAGTGCTGGAAACTCCAGTTTGGAGTTTCCAACGTTTTTTTAATGAACGAAAAAAAAAAAAAAAAATTAAGCAATCTTATAATGAAAAAAAATTTGGTAGTTTGTATTAGTTATTGAAAATGTCAACTGGCAACTCTTAACTAACGAAAAAAAAGGCAATTTTTTATTAAATCTAGAAATTGCCACGAAACTCGATAGATAAAGTTTTTTATCACAATTTCTTGAAAAATTCCTTGAAATATGTCTATAATGAATGGTAACCAAAGAGCAAATAAACAAGTTAGTTACAAAACTATTAGACGATCGATCTTTAAAAATTCATTTTTTGATTTAAAATCAAAGAAGGTACCAAAACTGAAAACTATTTGCAAGAAAAATATAAAACAAAAAAAAAACCTAGCTATTTCTGAGTGTTGGTAAGAAGATAACTGAAGAACTGCAAAATTTGATTAGAATTAGCACAATTATGCAGACATGGATTTCGAAACAGGGGGCCGGGAGCACAATCGTCAATTTGTAAAGAAAGTCCTGAATATCTAGATTTTTCTTTTAGAAAAAAAGAAAAGAAAAAAAAGTGCCCCACCCCTCCGGTGTCGTCGGCCCTGAGACAAAAAGTTATATTCGGGAAGTGGGGGCATAACAGTTTTTAAACATTTCATTTTGAAAAATGTTTTATATGGCAAAAATCATACTACGCGTTAGGTAATAGTTTCCTTCATTTCGCTTATGTTAAAAAGAGTGCCTGTTACGTTTCTGAGAAGTTGTGCATAATGTTTATTTTGATAAACAATATATTAACATCATATTTTTTCAGACCTTTCTTTTGAGGATTAACCAATATTTGATTTGACTGTTAACGATATGTGTTATCAGCATTATTTCATCAAGTAAAAATCACTTTTGATATCAACTTAATAAGCAAGCTATGAAACTGTAATCTTTTCAAAAACTGTCCTCTGGGGCAGAACCGCATATAATCACATGAGCCACAACCGCATGCTTTTGATATTTAGCAAAGTTAGATAATTACGAATAACAGTAACTACAATCGTCACATTTGAATGCGTTCATGCATAAAAACTTGAATAGAAATAGTTTTGTTTTGAGATGTTGGAAATTAAATTTCGTATTTTTATGTGCCATAATGACCGGCAAGGTTGAACTTCTCCTCGCCTCTAACTTTAAATGCTGCTTAAATATGTTCTTTTTGTGTATTGGATAAATCAAAAATAGATCAGAAGTACCAAAAAAACTTAATTTTTAACCCTATTTACCCCCTTAAAGCGATAAAGTTACCCCCTAAAAAAGTAACCCCTTCTATTATTATTTTAAAAGTCAATATCTTCCTTAAAGTAATATAATATAATCTATAACTTCAAACTTGAAATGATTTCAACTTCTAATACACCAGAGTCCCTTATAGTAATAATACAAAAGAAAAACTATGAATGCAATAAAAATATTAACACAACTACTTATATATTGAAATATTTATATCTTATCTATGCAAAAAGTGGCAGTTGCAGATTTTAATCGTTTACCATAATCTATATGCCCAATCCTTCGTTTATATTAAGACCAACTTGGTTTAAAGGTGCTGCAAACACCCTCTCCAGTCTGTTCAGATGATCCAAGAGAACAACAATTAAATTTCACAATTGAGAGAATATGACAAACCACTATTTGTACTTTCCAAGTAACATTCAGCTCTGCATTTGATTGTATTTTTGCATACTGCTGTAGGTCAAAAAACGATATTTTAAACTCTTCAATAACTTAAGAAACATTACTGTCTAATTCTTGTCCAAATGTGCACTCTTTAACTTTTGAAAACTTTCTGAGGCAATGAACAATCTACTTTTTCTAATAATTTTGTGGCATTATTGCCATCAAAGCCTATTCTATGATAATTTCAATGTAAAATATAATGCTCTTTGAGCCAATTCATAAATAGAGGTTAATGATCTAAAGGTAGTCAACCAAGATGTGTCACAATCCAATAAGATGTTATTCTGGTGGTGAAACTAACTGATTAATTTCAACTTCAGGATTTTTATCAGAATAAACAAGACGAGGACTAATCACATTTTTAAAATCTTTCATCTGCAATCGCTTTGCCCCATTTTCAACAAATAACTTGTACCAATGATCAAGAGAACCTAACGTTTTTTGGAATGCCACTTTCTAGGGTGCATTCACCTTCAGACCACCAGCAGGCATATATTTACCAGAATGAGAAGAGAAACCGAAAATGCTGTTACCACATTTTAAATCAAATGCAAGGTGATACGTAACATCATCTAGATTTAATCTACTCAGGATTTTCTGCAAGATTTTTATGGTCTTTAGAAATATCTTCAACGATAACAAGTATAAAACACTACCTAACTCCACTGTCAATGTGTATTTCATTTTTATTGAGACATTTACAATTACTTTAAGAAATCCTTGACCTCCATCAATGGAAACACATACCATACTGGAAAGAGGGCCTAAACCTCTTTCCATTAAAATACTAAAAATAAATTCAGAAGTGTCATGAATAAATACTATATCTCTCGTTACAGTTTGATTATTCTAAATAAAATCATCTTGTTCTATTTTATATTTAGACTCAATTTCTTGTTACAATGATGTCATCATGCTAACTACATTGTTCTCAACAACAGTAAACGACCCTAGATTCTTACGCAGACTTAATATCATTTTTTTTTTTTTTTTGATTTTTTGTTAATTCCAGTATAGAAGTTAACTCCATAACTGTTTGGAATAATATCTGATTAAAAGACTTTCTGAAAGATTTGTTATCTTTAGTTCCAACGGTTAAAGTTAATAGGTTCCTACCTTAAAAATAACTAAATTAAATATATTTCTTTACCATAACTAAAGTTAAAACACAAATATTTCAAATAAATTAACAATCAAAATAATTGTTAAATTATATGCCTCATATCTATTTTTGTATGTCTTTTAGTTTTAAAATATATAATATATAATATAGACTATATGAACATTTAAATCTTTTATCAACAATTTTATAGTGAAAATAAAAAACTTAGCTACCTGAGATGTTTTAAAGGATTAGCCTCTCTCTATGTCATCTCGCTTCATCTTGTTTTTATTTATGCCTGAAGCAACTTGCTCACATGATGAGGAACCAAGGTTTTCTGACTAATTAATTAGGTTTAAAACAGCCTGACTAAATATAAAGTTAATATAAACTTATTAAGCTTGAAAATAAGATTTTTTTTATTGAAGTTATATAAACTATAATAAAAAAAACTAATCTTTCCCTAAGAAACTGCCGTTTCTTAGGGAAAGATTAAAAATTATAAAAAGAGGTTTCTCAATAGTATCTGAGACCGCTTTTACAACATCGGGGTTAATTTCATATAGACCCGCACTCTTATTTTGTTATCAACATACTTATTGCTATCCGAAGTTCATCAACCAGAAGCTCCGATTCATCCATTATGGAATCTGATTTTTTCAAAAAGGATTAAAATGACTTACACCCCTCAAGGAAGTGCTCCCCTCAGGAATAAGTTATATTTAAGATCAATGAATTACTCTCCTCAAGTTATATTTAAGATTAATGAATTACTCTCCTCAGGATTTACTCCCCTCAGGAATAAGTTATATGTTAGATCATACTTTTTATGCGTAGAAAATTGTCCAAAATTTTTATTCGATTTTTTTAATAACAAAATGGATGAAATAGTATTGTTTTTTGTTCACAGTTGAGCCAATGTTTTTTATTACACGGTAAAAAAAATTGAGAAAGATGATATTTCTCCTGCTGAAGTTGCCGTAGTATTGAAGACTAGATAAAATCTAGAAATGAAGAAAAATTTCTACCTTTCATCGTACGACAGCATTAGCAAGTTACCGAAGAAAGTAGTCGTCATTTGAAAAACCAATTTCTGAAAGAAGTAGACATTTTTTTACAGTGTCTGTCTAGAGTATATAGATAAGTGGACGCGTCACTTTACTCAGGTTTAAGTTTTTAACTTTAACTTTTTTTTTTAACTGTAAAGTTGAAAGGATTGAAATTATTGAAACTTTTTTAAAAAAATCACATTCGATGACAATGAATTGTTCAACGAATTTCGAAGAATTAATTTATATTGCACAAAGGAAAAGTTTTCTTCGTGGAACTCACAGTCTGTTGAATGCGACAAGCGATGGGTTAAATTTTTTTCTCATTTCGAAAACAATCACGTTCTTTATAACAATTTATTAAAATTGGTGGAAGCCGCTTTATGTTTGCCAGGTACAAATGCTTACATAGAGCGATTGTTTTGGATTGCCAATGATATTTGGACGGAAGGGAAATCCTAACTTACAATGAAAACTTTGGCAGCTATTTTGTTCTTTAAATTTAATTTTAAAAAATATAGCTGCTCAGAATTTGCAGAAAAAAAAAAGACATGTTGCTGAAAGCAATTAATTCTTATAACTATTATTTATGATTTAAAAATGCAAACATTGTTTAATATTTTTCACATAATTTAGTTTCTTCACATGCTATTTAAAAATGAATATACGAGTTTTTAGTAAAACCCATTTAAACCTGGCTCGTAGGCAGGGAAAGGGGAGCGTGGGGGCACGTGCTCCCCTGCGCTTGTTCCTGTTTTGCCACTAAAAATTGAAATTATAGATACATTCAAAAAATGTTAGTACAACTTAAAAAAGGGCAAGGCGAAACCTTCTTG